ATGTTATTTTTTTTGTAAGTAAAGGAAAGGCCATTAAGAAAAAAAGACGTTATAGTAATTAAGTTCAACTTACATCTGCCTAGAATGTACTGACAACCCCTCGAGGACTTTGACTGTGGTTTGGCCATACACAAAGCGACGACACACAAAACCAACATGGCGGATAAAAGCTTCATTTTGACAGATTCTTTTTTTAAATCAACAGCGACTTACAAAGGCTTGAGCTATATTCTTCCACTGACAGCTTTGTCTAAATAGTCCGTGTTTATATAGGTGTGTTTTTTCCTTACAATTAAATATTTATCGTGAATCGTGCGCAACATTGTTGGTCCAATGCAGGGATGTCCAACGTCTGACCTGAGATTTATTAATTGAATAAATATTGCTTAAAATGATAATCGATGAATGCTTTGTTATCTTGTAGTTATAAATATGCTCGAACAAAAAGTTTTGAGTTTAATTTTATCGAGGGGTAACGGGCTATTTAGTTTAAGCGACATTTTGGGCGACATTGAGTTATTATAATATATATTCGACGGAGAAAAATTCGCTGATTCCGAATATATATATAACTCAATATCGCCCAAAATGTCGCTTAAACCAAATAGTCCGTTACCCCTCGTTATGATTCTAAATTTCGAATTTCTGGGTAATTAACACGGAACCCAGAATCGTATATAGAAGTAAAAATATCTAACATAAATACCTAATAACGCTTAGTCGGGTGCACAAATTCAACCCGGGACCCTTTAAACGACAGTCGGTTTTGTGAAGTCGATAGTCATCAGAAAATTTGAAGAAGCGAGATACTGAATGATAGTTCATTACACTATACAATATTACTAAACCGAAGTTGATTGGATGGGTGACTTATATAAATATTTAATCAACTAGGTACAATGAATCGGTTGATCGCCCCTGATTTTGTTTTATCAGCTGTACGCGAAATATTTGATTCAGGTTTTGAGTAGAAAAAAATGACACTGTTGTCTAGCTGCGATTTATTGTTTTAACATTTAACTTATTCGTAAAAACACTGTCAATATAATATACTTAAATATTTTACGATAATTTACTGTTCGTAAAAAAATACATATTTTCTTTCTATTAGATATTTCCATGATAATTTCAAAAGTAGGTACTAATGAGGGTAATAATAAAGTAATAAGTTATATTATCATATTACTATATCTATTGGTAAATCTTTTTTATGGGGTTATCATAATTTAATACCTACTATTAATTTCTATGACTTTATCTGAATAACTCGTTGCTCGAGTGGTCGCAAGTGCGACTGCTGGGCAAGGGGTCTCGGGTTCGATTCTCGGGTCGGGCAAAGTATTACTGGGTTTTTAAAAAAAATTCAGTAGTAGCACGGAGTCTGAAAATTGTGCCCGATATATGGCAATAGGCTCACCCCCTATTACATGGGACTTATGACATAAATAGTGAAAAGTGGGTGTTACATTGTACAGTGGCATAATGTGCACCTCTGCCTACCTCTTCGGAGATAAAAGGCGTGATGTTATGTTTATCTGAATAACTCATCTATCTATAACGCCAATTTGTTTGAGTACTTATTTAAAAACAGAACCGTGTTAGGTATTATTATGCAGTCTATTTGCTTATCGGAGACAAGTTTTTCTAATTATAAAAATACCTAAAACCATTGTGGTTAATGACGAACAATGTCTGAATAGGGTAGATGACTATTTTTATCTTAAAATATCGGTCTGGTAGATTATTTAAAAACATAGGACACGTATTTTTTATTTTCTTACGGAAACGAATACTTTCGACGATGTGTTGATTTGAAATATCGCATTACGTCACTGTTGAGTACGATTTATACTCTAAAATAACGTAGCTACCTCCCACTCGTAAACTTTTATTCCTTTTGTCTAAGTATAATTTTTTTATATGACAAAATAAAAAAATACGTGTATATTTATATATTTTCATTACCTAATTGACGGACTAATTAGACTTTTAATTTTCATACCCTGTCATCATCCCTGTTATCAATATCCTACTATAATGTTTTAAATGTGAATGTGTTTATGTTTGTTTGTGTGTAACTCCTTCATGTCCAAGCGACTCAAGGGATCAGAATGATATTTGGAACGGGGGTAGATTATGATCTGGAACAACATAGGCTACATTTTATCCCACGGGAATGGCCGTTGAAGCTACAGACTGAAGCTAGTTCAACCATGAAACGAAAATTTTTAAGTGTGAGAGTGACCACGGCCTCACTGAAAACCGACGTGAAGCAACGCTTGCGTTGTTTCGTCGTGTTAGTGAGGTTACCGGAGGCCCATTTACCCTCGCCTTCCCCAATCTCCTCAATACCTGAATCTCAAACGATCCTCAAACTCCTAATCCCCAAAAGGCCGGTAACGCACTTGTAACGCCTCTGGTGTTCCAGGAGTTCATGGGCGACGCCGATTGCTTACCATTAAGTGATCCGTCTGCTCGTTTACTGGATTATGCCATAAAAAAAAAACAAAACATACCAGTATTTGATAACAAGATAAATAGATAGATACATCTAATAACATAAGGTAAATAGATATTGATTATTGTTCTGAAGACGAGTACTGCACTTATCTGCATTAGATTAATGATATAGTACATTCCAAGGCTGATGATGCAACCTAGGATATAAATATAAAGCCTAGGTCTCTACAAGGTTATCCTGGATTTTTAATATAATTATCCTTATTAATTTTATTTATGTAGATACACGTGGAAAAGCTTGCTTCGGTACGAATGGGCTGGTTAGAACGGTGATACCACGAGCTTACAGAAAACTGATGTGAAACGATACTTACGTTTGCTTCACCTTGTGATTGAGGAAGACATTTTAGAAATTACTGATTATATATGACAATTTATGACCTTGAAGATACTTCTATTTTTGAAGCAATTCATACTGTAATAACGAGAATTGGGTAGTTTCAAGGGTATCAAAATTAAAAATCTAATTAGTCCGTCAGTTAGACAATGAAAAAATATTGGACGCATATTTTTTTATTTTCTCGTATTAAGTTGCAATATTTAGATAAAATAGCGTTAAGTTTAGGAGTGGGGGGTCGTTACGTCATAACGTGCTACAAAATGTGGCACGCTGTGACGTCAGACGACATTTCAAATTAATTTCTTGTCGAAAGTATTTAATTTTGTGAGAAAACAAAATACGTGTCTAAAGTTTTAAATTAATCTGCCAGACGGACATTAAAATAATATTAAGCAAACAACCCTATTGTTAAATCATTACAAAAAACGTAAAATCGACAAAAACTATACTTTACCTTACCCGGAAAATGAACACAGTACACTT